TCAAAACATCCTGACAGTTTGAACAAAAAGTAAATAAAAAAATATTTTAAAAAGCTACATACTGCAGCTTCAATGATATGCATTAAAGCTGGTTTTTGCTGCTTGTGTCTAATGCAGGCCCACATTTCATGCACAAAGTCACTGTTTGCAAATAAATCTACACTATAAAATTTTAGTTTTGGATGGTGTTAAGTATTGGTTATTAAAATTATTTGACATTAGTAGGCATAATGTTCAGTGATTCCAGTAGAATTGGCTACGTTACTCTGGGAGAAAATCCAAGTTAAACAATTTGATTAGATGTTAGTTCAGTTAAGAGTTGCTCTCATTGGTTTTGTGCGGCTGATATGTTAATATGCGACATATTATGAATGAACTTATCTCAATAAAAGGTTAGGACTGTTGTGAGACTTGCGGTTGAGAAAGTTTATGCTTTTGGGCAAAAATGTACGTTTTTATAGCTGTAACTTGCTTAGCCGTTAATGCTAAGGTCTAACTTGGTAGGTTGGCAATGCAGCTGTGGCTGCCAGAAGAAAATAAACGTATTAATGTTTCATGCTTTCATGAGGAAAAATATCTGGATAATTAGTATGAATTTATTTAATTTACCTGAGAAAGTAGCCTGCAGGCAAAAATGTAGTAAAACTCAAATGTTTATTTAGAAACACTGATTGAAATTTATCCAGATGAAATGCAAACAAATGTTAGTTTCTAACAGTTAAACTATATACAATTAACTGACAACCAAATAAAGTTTGACTTTTTTTTTCTCAAGTCTGTAAGGTTTTACTGACCTGCTGCACGTATCCAAAATGACTGACTAATCTAAAGAAGAACCAATTTGTTCTTTATTTTATTCATAATGTGACGTGACCGATGGCATTCTGTCACAACAGTTAATTTAGTAGTTGATGGCTCAGTTGTTACGTATTGCACGGGGCCACCAAAGGGACAAAAAAATGTGTATCTGACAGCAACTCATGCACATATAATGTGAAAATGACCAGGGGTATAATCTATCCAGTAGTTCTTGAGTTTTGGATGACATTATCAGATATGTTCTGAATTTTCAGGAAGTTGGCTGTATTTCTTCAGGAGCCATTTTCTATCAGTCAGTTTGTGGACTTTGCTAAGCTCGCTTCTAAGAGTATGACTTGTACAAAACTCAAGTTTTTTCATAAAAAGTTTCAAAATAGATGTATTTCGCAAAACTGCAATGGAAGCACTCGCTCACTACTAGACACGTAATCAACAGCCAGATGTTACTACTGGAGGAGACGACAAAGAAGTCAACAGGAAGTAGTAGGAAGGTGATGGTTTGTTTTTTTGTTTTTTTTCACACAATGTGCAGCTGGGTCCACCACAGCTCTCACAGCATCCACAGCTCATAAAAACTTATTCAAACGTGTTGAATCCACAGAGCTTCTGAAAAATGGCTGACTACAATTTCCCCAAAACGCCATATAAGCAGCCCTCCCATGGATATAATTTTATGTAACTGTTAACTTCAAAAATAAAAAGTTACATGTTTATTTACATCGCTGCCATGATTTTTAATGACTTATCAGAAACGTATTCTCATGTAAAGCTTGTCTTTACATGAGAATACGTGTAAAGACAAGTTGAATAAATGGAGTTGAAAGCCATTTATTTCACTTGGCTTTCAACTCCAGCGAGATCTAGATTTATATTGTAAGTTTGTTGTTTTAAACTGTATTTGTTTTTATCTATTTTATGTACAGCACTTTGTTTCAGCTGTGGTTGTTTTAAAGTGCTTTATAAATGAAGTTGGTATGGTATGGTATGGTAATTCATTTCCTCTTAATGGAAACACCCCAAATGCAAAATTGCGGGGAGGGGCCTCTACTTTATCAGAATACAGACAAAGATTTGTGCACATTTGTCATGGGAATGCAGTTTCTACGAGTATAAGCAGGTAAAAATGATGGATGGATGGAAGATATGCGGAAAAAGTTGGTGAATTTCATTGTCGGCTTTAAATATTTGGTAAATTTTTAATTTTTTTTTGCTCTGGGCCCCATACAACCTTGCGCCGCCTCTGGTGTCGGAACACCCTTCCTATTATTTTCCCCTGTCTGCCTCCTTTGCAGTTTTTATCTGATGACACCACTTGCACACACAGCGAGACGGCGAAGGGGAGGGGAGGGAAAGTCAACGCCTCCCGCCGACAGCGAGATGGATGCCACAAGTGACACGCTTTTGTTTTCCTAAAATGCGCTCGCATGCGGGCGAAAGTCGGAGGCCAAAAAGGGAACAACTTGTTCACTTGTTCCGTTTGGTTGAGCAAACCATGGCAGTGGCAGGGGCTGGTTGCTTCTCCCCCAGGTTCGCCCCACTGTGGCTCACAGAGGCCCAGGCTGTCGATGTAAGCCCCTGCTGCTCCGCTGGAAACAGGCAAAACAGCAAAATATCGCTTGGATTCAGATTACCTCACGCTTTGTTTCCCCTCTGTGAATAGTTTGCCGCCTCTAAAGTGGCAGTTTGTACTCTACGTGCCAGAAATGTCAATAAAACCGCCCTAATCGGCCCTGCGATCTGTAACAGCACCTGCTTATGGAAACACATCCCGCCCCAGCAGTTCATCGCTGCAGCTGCGACGTTTCCTTCCCATTAAAGTAGGAAATGTCGGCTGGTGCGTGTTTGGACAAGCCCACTTTGCTGAAAAGGCGTCCAGCCCAGTTGAATCGTTCAGCTCGATTGTGGGCGATTGGGTTTTCACTGATGGAAATATGGACTCTTTAAGGAGGAAGTGGCTTTCCACAGCTCTTTTCAACAAGCGGGAGTTTATCTTTAAAACATTGATTCAATAAATATAAGGTTCTTCAGCTTTTGATGAACAAACTCTCCTATTTTCATTGCTTGTCTCAGTAAAGAGGATGTTATTTTTTATTTCTATCACTACCACTGAAAGACCACAGCATATTAACATCATGGCAACACTTAAATATTCTAGTGTACACAATGAAAACTGGCTTTTAGAGAGGAAATGTTTACCTTTAAGCTAGTCGAAAGCATTAGCATTAATGCTAAAGTTAAACTTGCTTGCAACCAAAGCTTCCAAACATGGAGCCGTCTTTGCCGATTGCATCTGATCTTGATATTTTGTTGAAATTTAACTGACATCTACATCTGTCACAATAAGTAATAAATCAATTTACTGTATAATAAATTAAAACAAGATACATACTTTCCATTTGTACGATTTATTGTTTTTCTCTTTTGTGTCTTTTTTTTCTACCAAAAACCGGATGACAATAATCTTCAGTCTATTGCTTTGGTCTCAACCAGTCCCTTTTTCTGAAGGGCAATTTTGATTTCCAGACACTTCATAATTGATTTTATTGGTTGTTTTTGTTGTTTAGTTAATTTATTTTTGATATTTAAAATGTTTTCCAGTTTCAGAGTCAAATCTTCATTACAATGTGTCCTGGCACTATTATGCCATTAAACTTATGTTACTTGAAAATGATCTCAAAATGACAATATTATCATTTATTGAAATAACGTGGGATAATTTATCATCCAGCAAAATTTGTTATCATCATCGGCCTATTGATAACATACATTTTTAAAACTGGTTGATATTTAGCATATTCATTTAAGTATATTTTTTATTTGTCATGTAGGAAACCGTGAGACAAAAACGTGACTAAAACTTTGCCACAAAACCTAAACAGGCTTCATCAACGAAGCTCTTAACTGCATGGTTTAATTTTTCCCTTTTTTTCCTGTTTTCTCAGGAACCTCCTCCATTTTTTCTGTCTTAAATCTTTGACATTATTCACCATAAATAAATATTAGTTGGTGGTGTTTTAAAGTTGAGTTTGTGGTTATGACAATAGGTTTTGAACAATCACAGTCATGGTAAAAAGGAAAGAAGAGTACACCATATTTTAAGTGCAGGGTGTTAGATTTGGAAATCTGTTTCCGCGCACAGCCTTTCCTGTTTTATGCACTGTGCTGGAGATAAGATGGCATTAAAAGTAACAATAAAACTTCATATAATCTGAGAAATGTTAAACATACATGTTCAAATTAAGAAGATATTGGGTTAGCAATACATTCCTTTTTTATGTTACAAAAAATAACACAAATATGACTAGAAAAGAATTGAAGTCACTAATTCAGCAGGAAAGAAGGTTTTTGTTCATTTTTGTTCATCTTAGCTCAGGTGAGATGGCGGAAAACATCCACATATAAATATTGAAAAAAAAATTGGCCTTGGATTTCATTGGTATTCAGATCTAGGCATCAGGTCCAGCAACGCACCTGGCTCAGACATCGCTCAGATTTATCAGCAAGAAAATATCAATAACAATAAAAACAAAACTGCTGAAGTTGCTGAAACCAGATGACTTGATGAAAGGAACAGTAAAGATGGTTAACTGTGATTTTCCAGGCCATAGGGACAGCAGAGATTTTATATTGTTGACAGAGGGGATTCTCTGCATCCATTAAAATGTGTGTAACCATGACAGCAGCAGTGGAAAAATAAACATATAAACTGATATCAGCTTGTGATAGATTATCAAAGGTGATTTTAAATTAGGAAATTTTCCGATAAATACTCTCATCCAAGGGTAAATGAACTGTTAGTTGTACTTAAATATAAGTTCACATATATGCCCCAACATTTACGTCCATATATAGTCAGAATTTAATTATTTAATTTGAGAAAAATTGTCGGGAAAATAAAAATAAGAATAACTCGAATTTAAACACGTTTGTTCATGGAAACGATTTTTAAAGAAACATTTTCTCTGGATGTTTCTACTCAGAAACAGTGATTCTGATCAACCAAAATGATTTGTGCCCAATTGTTTAATTGCTTAAATTCAAAATTGATTTTTAGTTATTTTTATTATAGATATATATATATATATATATATATATATATATATATATATATATATATATATATATATATATATCGGTGTAAATTCCAGTCAGAATTAACAATAAGAGAGGTTTTGACTTACCGACGCACTCGTTGGCCTCCCTGGCCGTGGCGCGCTGCCATGGCCGGTCGTAGTGGAAGGGCTTGCACCTGTCGCACTCCGGCCCCGCCGTGTTGTGCTTGCACTCGCACACCAGGTTCCCCTCGCGGTCTTTGACGCACTTCGACGCGTGCCCGTTGCACTTGCACCGTCCGCCGACCTGCAGGTCCGACACGGCGTAGAAGTAGGAGTCGCGCGCCAGCTCCGAGTCGTCCTCGTTCTCGTCGCCGAACGTGTGCAGCCGGCTGAAGATCACCTTGATGTCGGTGGCCGTCACCCAGTCCTGCAGCACTGGCGAGTTGTCGAAGTCGTGCGCCGACGGCCGTCCGTCCAGGGTGCTGAAGGCGATCAGGCCGCCGGTCAGCGGGTGCATGTCGGTGTGGGAGTCCGTGCAGATAGCCTCTTGCTCATTCTGCTTGGTGATCGTCGCCTTGTTCTGCCGGTTGTACATCTTCTTGCACTGCGTGGAGTAGAACTGGAACGGAACCCAGGACTTGCCGTAGTCCATGGACTTGTAGATTGCCATGGACTCGGGTCTGGGCGAGCAGAACTGCAGGCTCACGTAGGTGACCTCGAACTTTTTCCCAAGCGACAGCGTGAGGGTGACGTTCTGCGGGTACTGCGCGTAGTTCTCCGACTGCCAGCAGGTCAGGTTGTGCGGGTTGTTGAGGTCCGTCAGGTAGGCGGGCGGGTGGGACTTCTTGGGGTCCGTGGCGTCGCACGTGTGGCAGTCCCGTGTGCGCTCCTCTCCCTTCTCGGTCACCACGCAGTAGCGGGCCGCCGGCGCGCCGCAGGTGCTGGACACGCGCACGTCCTTCCCGAAAGCGGAGTTGACGAAGTCGGGGATGCACCGCCTCGGGTTCCCGTTCTCGTCGTAGCACGGGTCCGGCGGGGAGGACTGCGCGGCGAACATGCTCAGCCCGTATCCCGCGGAGGCGCGTCCGGCCAGCGCGCAAGCTGTCAGCACTGCGACCCACGTCTCCAAAAGCCGTCTCATGGTAGGACTTAATCCCAGCGCCGCGGGGGGCCGATGCAAAAACACACGGGAAAGCACGGTTATCACCTCAACAGCACCTGCGGCAAAACACTGAGAGAAAATGAATTAGGACAATTGGATGTAATGGTTTCTGGATGTTTTTTTTTCTAGAAATATCCTTACAAGGGGAAAGGAAAACTCCACCCAGACTACCACCTCTCAAGTGGACAGCTCAGGCTGAAAGACTTGGAGGTCCCCACGCAGAATTTGGAGGAGAAAAAAAAAACACCCTTTATCCAGTTTACGCACGAAACAAAAAGGTGCAATAGACTCTCCCTCCTTTCTGGAAATAAGATAGAGAAAAAATAGAAGAAGTGAGAAAATAAATGGCAAATGCCCAACTGGCTGCCTGCCTCTGTCTCAGTCGGTCCCCTCTTTCACACCTCTGCCCACCTCTATCACTGTCTGTCCCGTTCCCTCTCTATTCTAATGGGAGGAGGGGGGAGAGAAGAGGAGTCCACCAGCGTCTGAACGCTGGAAACGGATCTCTGACCTGTAAAGGGAAACGGCGACATCTTCCGGTGAAATATCGGAACTACGTGGATATTATGTCTTTCAATAATGGCTTAAGTCTTTTTTTTTCCCCAGAACGTTTTTCTTTCTTTCTTTTTTTTTTTTTTTTTTTGCAAAAAATAAAAAAGAAACTTATGTAATTATTTCAGTTAAGTGACAGTATTCACAACAATACTAAAATGTAATATATCTAAAACACATCAGAATGTTGCATGAAAGTGCAATATTTTTTCCCAGTCATCTCAGAAAGTGAAACGGCCATTTTAAAGAACTTCGTGACGCGTGGAATAAAATATTTCAAGCTTTTATTTTGTTAAAACTTAATTGTTACGGCGTGTGCGTCAAGAAAACCCAAACTTCAACGCCTCAGAAAATTAGAATATCACATCAGACCAAATGAAAACGAATCAGGATCATGAAAAGTACACGCATTTCTGTGCACTCAGGACTTGGTCGGGGCTCCTTTAGCAATGAATTGTGCCGGGGCTTTGAGGGGATCAACCTGTGGAGTTGTGTGGGTGCAATGGAAGACCAAGTTGCTTTAACAGCTGCCATCAGGTCATCTCCCTTACTGGGTCTGGTGTCTTTCGTTGTCCTCTTGATGATATTCCATGATACTTCAACAGGGTTAAAGGTCAGGGGACTGTGCTGGCCAATCAAGAACAGGAACGCTATGGTCATTGAAGCATTGAAGACGATGTCAAGCTCAAAAAGGACAATTTCACATGATAAAATTCCGTCTTTAATATCATTGGATACAGAACTCTGTGTATCAAAGCCAACTGACCCAGAGTGAGTGGTAGCTTAAAGGCTCAGAAAACCTTTTAAGGTGTTTTGAGTTAATCAGCTGATTAGTTTGAGACACCATGAATTTATATTCATAATCTTTTGAAGAACAGTCTAATTGGCTGAGACACTGAAATATTTGGTTTTCACTGTCGGTAAGCCATAATCATCAAAATCACAAGACACAAAGGCTTAGAATATGTCACTCTGTGTATGACGAGTTTCACTTAATAAGGCGACTGGTGAGAAATATTGGGCTTTTACTCAATACTATAACTTTTTCAGGTGGTTTCCATGCTTGTGTCAAATGTTTAAATGTAACTCTTCTTTGGCCACACTGATGTCAGATAAGAGCTGCAGCCATGCAGAATTTTCATTTTGCAGCGAGTTTCCTGCTCCTCCGTTATCGATGCATGTCTTCTGTCTTCTCAGTTCTGTGGTTGAGTCTTAATTTATTTTCGTTGCACTGCCGCAGACGCAAACAGTTAGATTCTGAAGCAGCACAATGGCTGTGGCACGTTTTATTCAAGTGGACTTTAATCAATATTTCTGTGCTGAATATATGCCATCAGCTTACTTATTCTAACTAACCGTGAAGATGATTTTGCTCATGGGTTCATCAGAAAACGTAAATGAAATAATAAACTGTATATCAGATGTAACACAGTGGCATGCAACGATTAACTCTGAAACCGCAGCTAGAAAAAAAGAAAAAGAAAAGATAACCACATCTGAGTACATTGGCAACCACAGTCTCATGTCAACATTTTTCTAGCAGGGTGTTAGTGAAAAGAACAAATAAATCGCCTTACACTCTTCCCCCTCTTTAAATGAAATGTCCTCATTTCAAAATGAAGTTGTTGCAAAAACAAACAAAAAATAAATCTTACACTAAAAAAAAAACAGAAGAAGAAATTAATAGCTCCTCTTTAAGGCACAGCACAATTCCTTAGCTGTGAAACATCTTTAGTAAATAACTGATCTTCTATAAAACCATATCAAATGAAAATGAAAAGTAAATCATCTTACACTCTTCCCCTTCTTTAAATGAAATGTCCTCATTTCAAAATGAAGTTGTTGCAAAAACAAAACAAAACAAAAATAAAAATCTTACATTACCATTGACATTGTTTTAAGCTAGCTCAAGCTGTTGAGTTGCTAAAAAAATTGTTTTCCACTGTAAAAAGTTTCATAACTTTGTGATATTACCTTGTGCAGTTAAGATTTTGCCTTTTAAAATTGCGGTATGTGACTTTTATGGAGAAAAAAAATAAGAAACTAGCCGGTTATCCTGCGAAAGTGTTGATCTCCTGTATCCTTCCTCAATTAGCGTTGCCGTTTGAAAACATACCTGGCGCCGGACCAAAAACAACCAATCAGAGCCAGGAGGGGGCGGGTCTTGCATCTTTCAACCAATCCCGTGTCCGTCCAGCTAAACGCGCTGATAGCGGAGAAACAACTTACCGTTACAGAAAACCGTTTATCAGCCGCAGTCGGTTGCCATGCTAACTAGCTTTAGCATTCACAACAGAGAGACAGGAGTGATTGACAACGCTGAGGCCTGCCTCCTGGCTCTGATTGGTTGTTCCTAGTTAGAACTGGGAGCACTGGGAGGAGCCAAAGGAATTAGATGCATTTTCACAGATTATTTGTCTCATAACTCTCTAACATACAATTGGAATCAATATAAGTATCTTTCTATTTGTCTCTATTATTATTGGATTAGGTGAAAAAAAATTAATTCTCCTTCGTTTTTGTAAAGTGCCTCTAGGCTACATTGGTTCCGGGGCCCAATCACAAGGCCTCATTGAGCTGAAACTAACCTCGAGAATGCTATTAATATTTTATTTATATTTTTTTCATCGTAAATCAACAACCAGCAGCATAATGCTTTCTTGAAATAATGATGACATTTCTAACTTTCCTTTAATACAAATGTGCTATTTAAGCATGCAGGGAAACAAATACATAAATGAGCACTGAAAAAAAATTGTACCTGAAAAGCTTAAAAGCATTTAAAAAAACAAAAGGATCTCAGGTGCTCAGACGAATGTCCTGTTTTTGTTGCCGTCTTGAGGTTCACTCAGTCACAACTACTGCAAACATAAGTCCTGATCTCATGTTTTACTAAAGGGAATAGTTTGTTCTTCTTGATTACGCAGTCTTTTTCTAATTTTGATGTCATGAACTTACACAAGACCTCTTAGCAACGCAACTTCTTTCCTGTTACGGCCAATCCGGGTAAGATGCGTAACTTCCACTTTTGGATAATTATTTCCTGTTGTAGAATGGTTGAATTCAAATTTTTAAAATGTGTTATAACTGCTTGTACTAGGGGGGGAAAAAGGAAATATTGTTTCAAAGGTCATTTGTAATGTCTTTCCATGGAAGGTGCTCTGCAATGGTCTTGAAGAGATAAACAATAATAGGTTCCTGTTTTGTTAAAATGTCTTTTTAGCTTGAAAAACTGCTGAGGGCGACTTCCTATAGGACACTGGTTATTGAAAAATAAAACTAAATTTCAGGTGTACACTCAAGTTCAAATGTCCAGTCTGTTGCCTGTTCTGACCTCAGTCCTCTCAAAGGTCAGTTGAAGGAACAAACGTTAACCAGTTTGAAGCATTGGTAACACTTTATTTGAAGGGTCTGACATGACATGACAGGAGGCTTTATGAATGTTTACGACTGTTGCCATGAAGTGTCTTTCGGTAAATAATGATACTCTTCATACAAAGTTGACACTTTTGGTTGACTTTTAATGGACCATTTCAATAAAGCAATGTTTATGGGGAATTTTTTTTAGAGCAGCTTCTCATTAAAGCTTTTTTTATGCAGAACCTTAAGATTTTTGTAAAGGTGTAGCAGAGTTTAGATCAGACTGAACAAAACTCGCATCTGAGCAACATTTGAATGTTAGTTTTCCTTCTCAGCAGTTTGTTCACTGAGAAAAACACGTTTGATGTGCATTACTCGTCATTTTTGGTCCTGCAACTTGAATGTGGTTTAAAAATTTTTAAAACCACATTTTACATCACATAAATTTTTCCGTTTATGCCCCCCCCCCCCCTCTCACCCCTACCAATAATAAGATGGGATTTACCCCTTTGACCACATTGTGTTGTGTTGGTACCAACAAGACAACGTTGGGACCATCGTCTTGTTGCCTTGATGACAAGATGCTGTTGTCTTGTCAGTAGAAATCTATAGGATTCTTCTGAAATCCAGTCGAACAGGCAAAGGTCGCCTCGTTTTGGCACGCACAGCTTTTTCAGTCGATTGACCTCGACGCTGTGCAATCTGTTGTGTGGGTCTGTTCTGAGCTCTATGCTAAACCCTTAGACTAGAAGTGAGGTGAACTTTCTTTCTCCTTGGTCTGAATGTGAGCAGAAGCTGACAGGGGGCCAGGATCAGGTATGGACCTGATCTTGATTGGCTTAGATGACCGCTGTCAGACAGAAGGCCCCGCCTCCAGCAGCAGTTGTGCGTAACATAAAACCACTTCAGCAAAAAAGACTCAGACAGTTCCTGTTTTGCTGCACTTGCCATCTTGAGTGTGCAGTTAAAGGGTCCGTTTTTTATTGTTGTTTTGTTTTTTTAAAAGCAGCAAGAGGAGGATGTGGCGCTGGTCTTTGCCCCTGCTGGCGCCTCTCAGCTGCAGTAGATAAAGGATGATCCAGGAAGGCCATAATTAGCGGTAAGAGTTTTGTTTTTCTCAAATAATTTCATTTCTTCTGGGTGAGGGGAGAAAGTGATGTTATTTGTGTTATACTCTGTCTCATTTAGGTGTTTTAAGTTACAACTTTCTCTACAGGAGTAGCGAGCCTCTGTCATAAAGCTCGTACAACAACTGCACACCGTTTTTCAAGTTCTACATGTTTCCTGTTCCCCTTCCTATTAAAGTATGTGCCATCATTGAGCAGGACGTCACACATTTGCGCGTGCATGAATTTGGACCTTTTTTAGGCTCAATTAAGCAGCCTAAAGACTTATTGAGTCTTCAAACCTAACCATGGGAGGCCCCAGTGGGCATTTTCGCTTCCTGACAGGTCAGGTTTTACACAGAGGTTACCGGACAACGCCGCCCGACTGACTTACAAACAGATCAACACCTGCTTCCTCCGTGGACAATTCACAGTCTGGCTTTTTGTCCAAGCAGGACACCTCAGGCACTTTTTGAGGAAGGAGACGTTGAGAGTGGAAAATAAATTTAAAAGTCACTCTTAGCCTTGATGTCAAACTGCTGAAGGCTTGCGGCCATCTGCCACATCTAACTGGTGGTTTTGAGAGAGGTAACATTAAGTCGACTGCAGCGAGTAACGCAAAATTGGAGAGTAGTAGGAGAAGAAAGTAGGTGAGTGAGAAGGGTAGAATAGAATAGAAAAACCCTTTATCGTCCCTCAGTGGGGAAATTCAGGTGTGAAAGGAACAACAAGCAAGTCGGAGCGTGTAAATTCACACCAGGTAAAAAAAACATATATATATAACAGAAAATAAGCAGGGGAAATAAACAACCTAAGAATAAAAAAAAACTCTTATTCAAGAAATGACTGAGTAGGATGAATTGTGGTTAAGGGGAAGGTAAAGTGTACCCCAAGGTACAAAAACAATGTAATTAAAGTTTACAATAAAAAAATATGTCATTTGTTAAGACTGTCTTTGTTGTGACAGTATAATATGAGACAGACAATCTATGAAAAGATCAATGTCCACCTTCTCCTTCTGACCTGCTATTGTCTTCTGAGAAAATGCACCAAAAACAACCAATCAGCGCCTGGGATATTGTCTCAGCACTGTCAATCCTTCTCGTGAATGTGCTGCTAAATGTGCTAATGGCGGAGAAAGGACTTACAGTTCCAGGACAACTGTCAATCCACAGTCATCGGTGGCTATGCTAACTATCCTTAGCGTGATTGATAGCGTTAAGACCCTTTTCCTGACTCTTACTGGTAGTTACCGGTGAGCACTGGAAGCACTGGGAGACGGAAGAGGAGCTAGATTTGTTTCCATCAACAAATATGCAAAAAAAAACATATTTAAAAATAATTAATTCATATCCTATTGCGTTAAGACGGCACTCTTGAAAATGATACTCGCTAAGCTGTTTTTTTTTGTTTGTTTGTTCATTACAACTGGATCATATTTTATTTAAATCGTTGTGTAAATACCCATCCAGTTCCACTCACAAAGCACTTTAAGCTTAACAACAAGGCTGATTGAAGTCCTGTAGAAGAACACTCGCTGTGCCATACAAATGGGTCAGGGAATGAATGATAAAAATTAAGGGGGGGGGGAATCTACAAATAGGAATAAATAATTAGCATAAGACAAGTCCATCCATAGTGAAGGGGAAGCAACAATAAAAACTCCATCAAGTCCCAAATTTTTAGAGTAGAACCACCGAAAGCATCTGGTCTGACGATCCGATTCAACATTCATCTCGTTTAACTGGACCAGTCATAAAAATCAAGTGGTGACATCAGTCAAGTTGGGGTAGCCAATCCCCAAAAGCCAGAACGTCATAGTTATCTTTTAGATAGAAAAGGTTTAAGTTTAAAGAAACGCCATCACCAGAAAAAGGCTGGACTTCACCCCACACTCTACTTGACTATAAATCTTTATCCCCAATCATGTAAAATTTCTTCCACAGATTTACAGTTTGAATGTTCCTCCTTGTTGACATCTGGTCGGTTCTTCTGGAGTCCAGTAGGCCCAGCCCTGGCCCAGTTAAAGCACTCGTGACTTTTGTCAGCGCCCAACTGGCCTACATAAACCACAACCTTCCAGCCACTGAGTCAAACGTGTTCCTGAAGATTTACAGCTTGGTTACTTCTTTTTTTTTATATATATATATACTTTTGAGCTTTTAAGGATCTGAAAGGAAGCGGACCTGCAATATTTCCGTCCGGTGTTTAGTCATTCAAAAAAAAAAAAAAAAAAAATCTGATGTGGACGACTAATTTTAAGCAGAAAAAAAAGTAGAAGCTGTGGCCGTCTGTTTTCCACCAGCTCATCTCCGGTCCACTCTGATGGCGTGTGACTCACTAGTGGGAAGTGTCGGGCCGCTTTCAGTGCCGACATCCGCGTCCACAGAGCGCTTGTTTTCTGCGGCCGGGACGGAGCGAACAATGATTACTATTTACTGACACCGTCGGCAAACAGGAAGTCAGGGCACCTTCGTCGGCTCACTCTTTGTTTTGTCTTTTTTCTTTCTTCTTCTTCTATCATCTGTGGACGGGCCTTCCAGGCGATGGAGCAGAGCTCGTGCACGGAGGACCGTATCCAGCACAGTCTCGAGCGCTGCCTCTGTCACCTGGGAGTCAACTCCCCCGACAAGAAGCTCTGGGACGGTAAGACGCGGACATGTTGGCTTTCGGCGTTAATGTCACGAAACGGACGGCTGTGGGGTAAAAGATGTACACGTGTAAATGATGAGAAAACCAGCCGGATAAAGTTAGCTTGCATGAAAAAAAAAAAAACCCGTCTGGACTGGTCAGAGAAAGTGGGAAATGAAAGCGGTGACGCGCGCGCGGAACCAATCAGCCCACGCTAGTTTTGAAATATCTAGTTTCATTCATAAAGTCATAGAGAAGAGAAACCGGAGTTTGGATAATATGGGTAGCATTCATCACTTCTTTGCGTGTATGAATAGTCGGAACAACCAGAGAGAGAGAGTGTTAGTTAGTTAGTTAGTTAGTTAGTTAGTTAGTTAGTTAGTTAGTTAGTTAGTTAGTTAGTTAGTTAGTTACAGGTTGTGTCTGCTTTTGTCTTAGTTAGTTAGTTAGTTACAGGTTGTGTCTACTTTTGTCTGTCTAATAAGCTGGACTGTGCATAAGCCGCTGGTGTTTGGAGGAACTTGTGAAGCGACATCCCCACAACTTCCTCATCCTCCTGCAGAAAATACTGCAAAAAACAAAGAAGGTGAGTTAAAAAAAACCCAAAACAAAACAAAAACAACAACGCAACCCACATCCACGTCTGCAATCTGTCAAAGTTCAGATTTTGAATTGTTCCGCAGGTTCTGGAGGAGTGCCAGTATGAACTGGTGGTTCCCCTGACTCTCCTGTTCTCTGCTGCTCTTCTCAAAGTGAGTTTCAGTTGTTGGTGTTGCGGAAAAGGAACAAGTGCGCACTGATCCTTTTTTTTTTTTCTCAGTTTTTTTCTTTTGCAAAACTGTCAGCATTTTCTTTTTCTCCCTTTCTCTTTTGTAGAGCCCATACTTGGGCGCAGGATGCGGCGTTCTCCAAGAGGCCTACCTGCTGTTCCACCAGTTCCTGGCCTGGCCCGAGCCCTGCAGCTCCGCCAGCAGGCGTTTGCTTGTCGTCATCGAGCAGGAGATTCGAGCTCCAGGTGGACAAAACGTTTATATAAAAAGTGTCTAGAAAATGTGTTTGAACCTTCAAAACATTTAGTTCCATTTCACATAGTTTTATTTGTAAAGGCCAGGACAGCTTGTATTAAAACTGCAGAATGTAACTTTTACAAGAATATATCTATTTGTTTTTTTTTTTTGTTTTTTTACATAACTGTCAAAACTATCACCATGTCATAACAGCATAATGTGCGAAAAAACCGAATTTTTCCACCTCCTCCCTGACCTACTTTTGCCTTTTTGAAGAAATCTACAGTTAAGACAACCAACCAGAGCCAGGAGGAGGGCCTAGGTGCTGTCAATTACACGTGTGAACGTGCTCCTAAATGTACTAATTGTGGCGAAACAGCTCATTATTACAGGAAAACTGTTTATCCACTGTCATCACTGACTACGCTAACTAGCAATAGCATTCATGACATGCTTTGTTGACTGGGAGAAGATGTATAGTGGCAGAGAGCACGTCTTGACAATGCCAGGAGCCTCTGGGCTCTGATTGGTTGCTTCCAGTTAGAACTCGGCGAATGCAGATGAGCTTGACTTTTTCACAGATTTTCTGTCTCATACTATACTGTCACGACATACTGGCAGTTTCAACTCACATGTACAAAAATATCTTTGATAAAAGTCATATACTGCAGCTTTTAAGCAACAGGATTGTAAGTATGTTCCAGTTAGCCAAAATCAGCTCATTTTTTTGAATAACAAAATTCTGTCTTCAAATGATGGTTTCAGTAATTTACGAAGAGACAAAAGACATCCTAACCAATGTTAAACATGTTAGCCACATTTGTTTTGGTTCACATTCACAATGTGAATCAGCAGCAAAGTGATAGGCAAATGAAAAACATGGCCCAAAAACAGCTAAAAGACTGTTCAATGTCAGATGTAGGAAGTGAGAAAAACTTTTCAATCATAATAGTCACAAGAAAAAAAGCTAAAATGTAATATTTGTTAACATGCGCTTCAAAAAGAGTTTTTTATAAAGTTTTGCTTTGTATTGTGTACACAACAAATTAAAGATCCTACCTGACAAAAACTATTAACATTTTTGCGACGTGGTCTCACATTTGACCATTTCCACCATTTTTCAGAGTAATGAAAACAAAACAACAACAAAAAATTGTTCCCGAGTTCCTAATACAGCAGTATCCAAGTCATATGACCATGTGGACAAACTCATTCATTTTTAAAGTACAGTTGATTCCTCGTCTATATGCACATTTTTCTATATTTTTTCGGTGGCATTTAACTCCAACTTACTTGTGGAAATTTTGCCAAGAACAACCAAAATATTGGTGCAAGACATTGGTCGCACCATAAAACGAAGGGAATCATTGATGGACCCCATTGCTGTCTTGTGAATGTTTCCATCAATTTGCTTTGAGACGTTTTTAATTGTGGAACAACTGAATTACTAAAACATTCACAGAGCTTTTGCATCCTGTTCACACTTTATTGCCTTTTTATTGCAGGTATTTCATTTCAGCGACTGGTAAGGACAGAGCAGGCTATTTCCCCTGATGTTAACTGCTCTAAAACCTTGTAAGTACGTTGTTCAGCTTCATGGTAACAAAAACGAAATTACAGGTTGGACACGTCTTAAATATCTGTAAATGTCTGCATCAGAGTGGTCCTGTTGGTGAGTCCAGATGCTGACGCCCCCCAGGAGGTCCAGCTGACCTCTGAGCACCTCAGTGCCATGCATCACTCCAGCAGGAACATCATAACGACTCTTATCCTTCATAGCTTCCAGGCTGCTTTCGGTACCAAACTGGACCTGCGGGTTCTCCACGCAGCCCTGCAGGTGAACACCCAAAAACACGGATGGCGTTTTAGCTGTCGAGCCATTTGTTCTTGTCTTTTGTCAAAGAACGTCCTTCTTGATTTAACCTCAGGAGAAAGAGCTGTACGAGCTGGAGCAGCTTTATGAGACGATAACTGGCAGCATGGAGACGGCAACCTCTGTGGCGGATCACACGGCTGCCAGGGAGGGACTTCACCGCATCTTGGAGAAGCTCAGAGACAGTCTCTCTGTCCCTTCTGCTGACGGTTGCTTAGAGACTGGTGAGGCGCAAAGATGAGGCCTGTGCACAGTGCCTTCCAAAACTATTCTCCTTTCCCAAATTTAGTTGTGATGCATCCACAAGTTTCAAATTATTTTACTGGGGTTTCGTATAGAGGTTGTTTTATAACCTAAACCAGCTTCAAACTTCTCCGCCTTTTTGCTGTGTTCCTTGGTCTTCATGGTGTTCTTTGTTATCTAATGTTCTCAAATAAAACCTCTGAGACCTTCACAGAACAGTCTGATTCATACCAATGTACAATTATTTACTAATTATACTTTGGAGGGGGGGGGGTTCAGAATTATGTTCTACCCTTCATTGGTAGGGGGTACAAAAAAAATCCCTGCTTTTTGAATACCTTTGCAAGGCCCTGTGAATTATACAAAGTTCTCTGAAAAGAAGTTGTGACGTATATATTCTCACTTTTTGTTTGAGCCAAGCATCTCTTTCTCATTTTAGGGTCTTTAGAGATTCTAACGCTGCCCTACCCTAAATGCCACACATGTTTGTGGGATGACGACAATTTTGGTAATTCAACATATTCCATCCACTGTTAGCTGCTGTGCATCAGTATTGTTTCCCCAACTTTCCTTCCTGTCTTCTTGTTCATCCAGATGTACTAAAAGACCTGCTTTCAGTAGACTCTGACCTGGATTCCCCTCCAGAAAGTTTCCCCAAAATAGACGAGGATGACAATTTTGACACTAGCATCGACGATGAAGACGAGCAGGACTCCTCGAGCAAACGAGACGATCAGTTTCAAAGCCATCGGATCTCCACCGCCTCATCTTCCTCAAGGGACTCTACCTTCTCGGGGTACTCTCTCTCCTCCAGCTGGTCCGTGCCGTCTGCTTCATCGGGAGTAGAAAGCGACTTCAGCGAGGACACGGCTCACGAGGACACCGAGGAAGGGCAAGGCAGCCATCTGAAAGTCAGAAAGAAACCCAAGAAAAAGTCCAAATCCCTCTTGGGATTGGAGCGCTTCTCCTTGCTCTTCAAGACTCCGCACAGTCCGAGCGCATCTCGCCGCGTCCGGAGCATGGGCTACAACGGAGACATCACCAAAGACTACCTGATGACGGGGGCACAGCTCAAACACTCCAGGAGCCCCATGAGACATATTCGTCATCTCAATATGTCCACGGTCCCCGTAGATCCTTCTGCTCCCCACAGGCACATCTGTGTCCGCAGAAGGCCGATTCTGAGCTGCGACGAGGCGAATGAGGCGGAAGTGCTGACCGTCGTCAAGGTGGTGGCATTCGGGGGCGACAGAGAGGCTGGGAGACTCGCTCGGGCGTACAGCGACCTGCAGCAGAAAGAGAGAAAGTGTCCCCAGCTCACAAGGACATGCAAGCTGCAGTTTTACTTTGTTCCCACCAAGAGAAAACCTGTAAGTCCAGGAGCAGGACACATGCCAACAGAAGGGCAGGTACTGCAACCTCTCGGCAAGAGATTTGACGCTTTTTCTTCAGAGAAACTTTTAAGGCGTCTTACTTAATTTTTCTTCATTGTGACAGGAGTCAAATTGCCAAGAAGTGGAGGACAGTACAACAGATATAGCCCAGATGTTGGGTATGATGGACCCCTGGTATGAGCGCAATGTCTTCAGTCTGCTGAGCTTGTCCTCTGAAGTTCTCTGTGAGGTAAGTAAATAAGTCCAGAATGATCATGCTTTTGCAGAAGACCAAAATAGGCTAGGAGTTTGTTTTCTTGGAATAAATAACATTTGTTTTTGTAGAACCACCAGACGCAAATCGTGGTTCTTTTGTTTTTTTAGTTTGAACGCAGACTGACAATGTAGGTTCGAAGGTTAGCGTGAAGAGCTAATTGGGGTGCCTCATTTATCTCACCAGGGAGGATGATGGTGAAGGATGTAAACTATCCACTGTTAGGGGAACTGTCTTTATTGGACATAACAGTTGGCGCATTAATTACTTTATCAAGTCATCTATTTATTTCAATATTTATTGCCAATTCTGGCAGGAGTTGTCCAAAATTGCCACTCCTTATTATGGTATTTGTTTTTAAAAGCAGATACCCCCTGCTGTTGTTTCTTTTTCCCTTAATTTCCCACAACTCAGGCCGCTCCCAAGGAGGACGACGTCTCTGGCGCCACGGAGCAACGCCTCCCCCTGCTGGCCGACTTGGTGCTCTATTACTGCAGACACGCCGATCAGCCTGTTCTGGTGCAGCTCTACCAGGCTGAGGTCAGAGGTCAACCTCGCACAGAAGCACGTATCGAACACATCGACTCCCCTCCGCCTCCCGTCTTAAATGTTCTGGTTCCTTCCTTTGCACAGCTGACCCTGGAAGGGGGAGAGAAGAGAAAGGAAGTGTTCATTCATTCCTTGGAGCTCGGACACACAGCTGGAGCCAGAGCTGTTAAAGCCATGGGTTGGTCACACGCTGCGACACACACACACACACACACACACACACACACACACACACACACACACACACACACACACACACACACACACACACACACACATAAAAACCCCCCACAAAAACACGTGTTTGTGTAGATTCATACGTGTTTCATTGTTTCTGAAGGCGCTGTGAGTAAAAGGTTGGGAATAGATGAAGAGCGGGAGGCTGTTCCGCTCACCCTCGATGTGGCCTACAACAAGGTATTGTTTCTTTACGCACCCTTCCTCCTTTGCAAACAAATGTTTCTATTTCCGCCATCCCCAAACTAATCCCAACTGCGTCCTGTTTACAGGTGGCCATCAGTGGAAGGAGCCAGTGGATCCACAAAGAGGTGGTCTGCACCTCTATCAACCTTCAGAAGACGTCCAGAGACTCCGAGCAGCTGGGTCAGTCTGCACGCATCTACGGAGCTAAATTGGGGCCATAAAAGAAAAAGAATTTAAAATTGGGGTTGAAAAGCTTTCATATGAACAACCTTCATGGCCCCATGTCAGCTCCAGCCACACCCCAACAGGGCTGCTTCGCCTTCCATATGAAGTGCTTTAAGTTCACTTTCCAATTAGTTTTTTTTTTTTGTTCATGTTTTATTCTCCTGTATTCAGATTCTAAAGAGGGCCTGCAGCTGACGATGACAGAGGTTGTGAAGAAGCAGAGCTCCAAATCTAAAAAGGGTTACAACCAGGTGAAGGGTGGTTTTATAGCTACAAACTCTACTTTGCAATCCTGTTTTGAAGCCACAACCCAGTAAAACCAATCAATCTCACATCAGGAACTGCCAACTCCAAAGCATCCAAATACAAAAAGCAAAATGTGATGGAAAAAACAAAAAGTGCCGCAATCACAGAAAATACAAGCAGAAAATGCTGGAACTACAGACTAAAATGGAAGCAAAAGGGGAAATTCAGCAAATATGAAAAGCTGAAAAGGCCACAAATTAGTAAAAACAGCAGCAAATTCGAAAGTCATTACTCTGTCAAAAAAAAAATTGGTTTCAGCTGTGCAGTTCAATTCTTGATATCATCAACAAAAATACAAACATCTTAGTTTTCAGTGGGTTTCCTTATTCACTTCTGTTTTAATATCCCTTTATTTTGTTTAATTTTGTGGAGAAAATCCATTCTTCTTTAGCCAGCTCCATTTTTACTCTTGTTCATTCATCAGTAAACTCGCGGATAGTTTCTTGAAATAAAACAAAAACTGGCCTGACTCTTGTGTTTGCAGCAGATCTTGATATCAGAAGTGAAGGTGGACAAGATGCAAGTGACTGCTCAAGGGAATGGGAGCACGTTTGCTGTTTGTCTGGACCAAGACAAGAAGACCTTCATCCAAAGTGTGAAGAGGTAACGAAGTCTGTCGTTGGGTCGAGACAAGCGGAACGTGTATTTTATTTTATTTTTTTCTCCACCAGAAGCAAACTTTCTTAAAAATAAACGCGTTTTAAAGGTTGTTTGTCCGGTCTCTAGGTGTGAGGTGTCGCTGTGCAGCAAACCAGGAAGCAGTTCAGATTGGAGGTCCTACAAAACACTACCGGGCCAAATCCAGCCCCTCCACCCGACGTTCTGCTCCCTGCTCTGCCTTCCCGTCACTGCCTTCTCCGCTGCGGGTCAGTGACCCCTGACCCCAGCTCCGTCTGACCATCCAGGACCCAAAGAACAGGCCAATTGGGGAAAATCCAAGAATAGGGGCGAAGAACAGGGTTTAACATTTCATTTATTTATTGTGCTGTTGATATGTCTACATCGTAATTTAGAAAAGAAAGAAAATAATTGACCGTTTTGTGTTCACACTTTGCTGTTAAAAGCTGTATTTTTCACTGTTTTACGTCGGTAGTTTTTAAAAAAAACAAAATACGGTGCTCTAATGGCGTCTTGGTTGATGCCAAAAACTGGTAAAGGTACCGTTGTAATATTTCCAAAGTTTTTCTACGTGTGGCAATTTTAGTCAGATGAAGACGTCACTAATGTTTCCTAATTAATTGACTTTAAATTTTGATTTGAAGTCAATAACCAATATATGTGTATGATCATGTAAGCTATTTATTTCCATATGAATCTAATCAAAGGTCGTAATTATATAACTTATATTTGATCAATTCCTAATGGCAGTGATCGCCGTAGTAATGTTTTGTTTTGGGGGTTTTTTTTCTCTGAAATGACGACTTTAATGATGTTTAATAACACGAATCTGTTATATATTTATTGTGATTTTTGTTATAGTTTTGATCAAGTTGAAGAGTTTAGAGGTAGTCCTTTATATATCAATCTATCCACTCCGTGCAGTTCAATTCAGTTCAAAACTACGTCGATGGAAACGAAATGCGGTGCCACCGCCAGGCTTGCTTGTTAACACTGTTCTCACTGGTGAGAAATTCTAACCCCGGGAGAATATATTTTCTGTGATTTTGGTCGGATAAGTATTCAGAGTAAAAGGCAAATATTTAAAAAATTGTAAGTAAATGTCTGAGATTAAATTCTCATTTAGAAAATAAGAATTCTGAACATCCTGAGTGACCTAAAACTGAAAGGTTACTTTTGATTTGACGTCAGACTAATGGAAAAAAATTCATTAGCAAATATTTCTCCATCTAGTTCTTGTTTTTATGCATCACTGAAGCTGATTGTTATATAAAAAATGGTTCATTAAAAGCCCAGATTTAATATAGTATTTATGCTTATAAAGAATAAATTAAAACTTGCTGCCTCTACTGAGTGTCACTAATTTTCCGACATTCTTAGAAAACTGACTTAGTGATATTTTTGAATTTTGATTTAAAGTCAATAACCAATATATGTGTATGATCACGTAAGCTATTTATTTCCATATGAATCTAATCAAAGGTCATAATCATATAACTTATATTTGATCAATTTGTAATTGATTGTCAACTAAAATAAAACCACATTTCGTTTTCCATCACAAAAGATTTCTTTTTTTTAGCCTTATGAGGACAAAAGAAATAGACATTTGAATTATTTACAAATGTCTTTAAATCGACATAAATTCAGTGAAACACATGAAGCTGATTGTGTTTCCAGAGCTTCAATGTAATCATTCACATCAAAACAGATTCATGTGTTTGAAAAATATGGATCACTTTACCTCAACTTTACAATCATGCACTACTTTGTTTTGATTTATCACATAAAATTAAGTATTGGGAGAAAAATAAAAACAAATTGTTTTAGTAGTTTTACTCTTTATGCTGGCATTATCACATAAAGTATCTTACCCTGGACTAATATGTTTAAATTACCTGATGTATCCTGCATTTATGTTCAACATTTTGATTTGGACTTAGATGTGTTTTGTAATTATGTAGCAATTTTTATTTACATTTTTAAAATTCCTGATTTTTCACGTAACTTTCTATTTTGTCCGTCTGATAACATCATTTTTAAATATGAAATTTGATGTTATGATCAGTTTCCTTTAAACCCATACTGGACATTCATTTTCACACTGAAACGTTGGCGGCTTCTTGGCGCGCTGCGGCTTCCGGACCACTAGGGGGAGCTGGAGCCATGAAGATACCTCGTCAGGTGTAGTTGCGGTTACTAAGCCTGACTGGTTGCATGAACCGCCCCCCCTTTCCCTCCCCTGGTTACCGCAGGTGTTTTTTGAACTAAACACGGATGTCATGTCGCCTCCACCAGTGGAAAAAATAAAAGAACAGTAAAGAAGTTTGAGGAAGGAAAAGAAAACCACCGGGTAAGGCTTACATTTCTAACTCTGTGTCGCTCTTCCTCCTCTTGCCTTGCGGGCTTGGTGTGACGTGGACAAATGTTGTAGAGCACATCTTGACGTCCTGCTGGGACAGGTGTATCCAGCCTGACAGGTGTTCCTCTCCCTTCTCTTGTTGTTTATACTACAGCAACATATTTCCGCTTCGAGGTGCGATGCTCATGTATCTAAAGGTAAATAAAAAGTTTTTGGTTTTTTTTTTCTATTATGTTAAGCATGAATAAACTTTTTTTAGACGCTGTGCCTTTAAGTCGGCTTGTTCTTTTATCTACACTGTAGTAAAGCTGATCAACAAGATGCGTTGTTTCCTGTTCCATACAAACTAACAGCAGCAACATGATCAAATCTTTTAACATTTGAATGGTGTATTTGGGTTTTTTATAATGTTTTTTGATCGTTTATATTCCAAATAATAGATTATGTCAGGTAATATTTACATTATGACATGAAACAAGTCAGCTTTTTGGACTTCCTGGTTGAAGATGAGGTTGGCAATGTGGTGATGGATCTACACAGGAAAACCACCGACACGTTGCCGCTTCAAAAGTCTACATACCCTCTGAGGCTTTCACAAATTCTCACTTGGATTAAGGTCTTCGCTTTAACTAGGCCATCCTGACATGTCAAAAATGGTTTGGCATTTCTACTTTCCAGTCAGCAAAATAAAACTCAATTAGAGCTGCAATTGCCACGACTTATAAAATTACAACAAACACAGACAGCAAAAAAAAAAAAAAAACAGGAAATTTGTTGATTTTTTCTTAAAAGAACCACCGTTTTATATATATTTTGAGAATTTAAAATGAACATAAAAAAGGACGGATCTTTTTTGCTAATAGATTATTGCAGGTGAGGATGGTAATGTGTAGAATAATCTAATATCATAATTAGATCTTATTTTAGATCTAATAAGAAAATCTGATCTAAAAGCATATTGATACTACCTTTTTTTTGATAATACATAATGTTGCCCAAATGGGGATTGTTATTAACGCCTTGAAATTGGGCCTCTGTCTCTTTAAAAACTCCTGCTCTTCTTTGAGTAAGCCATGACATCGCTTTTCTATTAACCCTTTAGCATTTTTTTTTACCAGGGTTGCACTGATTAGTAGCTCCCATAATGAGCTCAGCAGATGCACAGTTTTATCAGGTGTTTGCTAATTGCTGCTGGCTAGTCTGAAGGAGATGAGTGGTGGTCTAGCGGGGAAGTAGAAACTGTAGCTCTGAAGAGGAGCTTCGTACTCAAAGGCGAATCTTAAGTCCACCCAAGCGTTTTGCACAGCTCAATGGTTGCCATGGGAGATTAAATGATTTCTCAAAGACTCTGTATAAAAAGAAACAGCTCACTAAGTTATTTCCTGTTTGTCTCTGCTTTTCTGAATCCCACCAGTTGCTCCATGTGACGTCATCTTAGAGACACTGTGCTGCTGGAGGACAACCATGAGGCGGACCAGACAGATCGACGTCAAGCGCGCCCTCATTCTGACGGCCACCTTCAGCTTCCTCTGCTGCTGCTCTAAAGCCTGTCTGCTCCCCTTCCTCACCCTGTACTTCCGCCAGCTGGGCCTGTCTCCGTCCATGACTGGCATCATCATGGCCGCCAAGCACGCCGTAACCCTGGTGTGGAGTCCAGCGGCCGGTCTCCTCTCCAAGCGCTATAACAAGAGACGGGTGGTGATAAACTGCTCGCTCGTGCTTTCTGCTGCGGCCGTTTTGCTGCTGCTGCTCCTCCCGTCTGTAGGGACGCCCGGCACACAGAGCAGCACCTGTAACACCTCTGACCTGAGCTCTGGTTCAGGCCAAAGTCAGTTGAATGTTACCCCTAGCACTAGGAGTCAGACGTTGCCAACGCATTCAGATTTAGTCATTGCGACGTCGCCTAATAACTTTGTCAGTGAGTGGAAACTTGGTCCTGTAACAACTCCGCCTAATCGGAGTCATACAGAACACTCTGACGCTCCTGTTTCACAAGGAAACTCATCTGAGGTGCCAGTCATCAGTCAGACAACAGCGAGTGTTGACCATTCCACCATCAGCTCCTTAGTGAATGCAGCAAAGAATAAGAGGTCTGTGATCACATCGGACCGCTTTGAGGACCAACAGAAGGGAAGTTCGGGATTTCTTGCGAGCCTTAAGGAGATGGACATTCAGAACCAGCTCTTCTATTTGACACTCATCATCGTGTTGGTGTGGGAGTTTGCGTCGGCTCCTCTTGAGTGGACAGCCGACGACGGGCTTTACGAGTATCTGGACTACGCGGACGCCTCAGACCGCCATGGCAGCGCCGATGTATGGGGTCTGCTCGGGGCGGTATGTGGTGTCGGAGGAACTGGGCTTGTGGTCGCCCAGCTCAGTTGTCACGTAGCAGCCACTCGCACTTCCAGAAGCGCAGTGCATTTTTATTCCTACGTGGGCCTGGCGGCTCTAGCCCTGCCCGTAGGCGTCTACCTCCCTCTGTACCTGAACAGAAAGCGAGACAGGGCCAGTGGGCTCCTTAAGGGTGTGCAGCTGGTTCACGGCTCCCCACACGCTCTACTCTGCGCCTTCACCATCGTCCTTGTCGGGGTAGTGAATTCGGCTGTGGAGAACTTCCTGCTTTGGCAGATGGAGGATCACGGGAGCACAGAGCTGCACATGGGACTATCCCTCGCTCTTTTTTTGCTCTCACAGGCATTCTTTCCCCTCCTGGCTGGCAGAGTATCCAAACTCCTAAGCCCAGGGAGGATTCTCGTCGTTGGGGCCGCCAGTCTCGGGTTGCAGTGCTTCTACTACTCCTTCCTCTGGGGACCCTGGGCAGCCTTTCCTGCGCAGGTGCTGGGTACCTTGAGCAGCGGCGCCGTCTGGTGGGCTGTGAGGATTCAATGCGAGGACGTTGCAACACCAGGGGCCGAAAGAAGCGTCAGAAGGGTCTACGGTTCCCTGTGCCTGCATCTTGGAAGTGTACTCGGGAGTTTTGCCGGCGGGTTTGTGGCGCAGAGATTTGGGGTGACATGGTTGTTCAGAGGGGTTGCCATAGGAATTATGGCATGGTGTGCTTGTCTTCCTCTCCTGCAATGGAAAGCCCCACGCCAGCGCAGGATTAACTACTCGCGTCTTTTGGCAGCCGACGCAAGCGAGGCCAGTGACTCTGAATCTGAGCCGGAGAGAGACTGGCTGGATAAGGCCATGGAGGACAGTCGAGGCAATAACAACTGCGAAAGACGAATCGGACACTAAAATCAGAATCAGCTCTGATCTGTAATGAGCTGATTAAATCCATCTGAGCTAAAAATGTCCATCATTTCTAGTGTTGCTCCAACAACATCACTTCCCTTATTTGCCTGTGAAGAGCATATTTTAAGTCAAATTCACAGATTTTCAATTGGATTAAGGTCTTCACATTGACTGGGCTAATCCGACAAATGAACATGATTAGTTGTAGGGCTGTTACTGCTGAAAGCAGAGGGTCTTTTGCAAATAGATTTTTCTTGGTACTGCTCCATCCCTGCAGAAGCAAATCATCCCCACTCCAAGATGCGGCGACCACCACGTTTAATGGCATATTTTGACTTTTGAGGCAGCATCTACTTCCTTTTTGAAATATGTGCGACACATATTTTCCTGACTGTTTTATTATTGTTACAAAAAATGAAATGGTTCACATTTAGAATCAGAGATCAAATGTTAGTGAGCAACAGCCTAGAAAAGCCCAATTATATTAGAAGATAGTTTACGTCAGCATTGGAATAAATATGTTTCCCCATCAGATTTGCAACATTGCCTGACTTGTCTCCCCTTATTACCACAGGCCAGGTGACAATAATTGATTTTCTCCCCGGACAGGTTCCATTACCGTCCAGAATTGCATTGCAATTTAATTTTAGCAAAACATTCCAGCTTCCTGCAGCATGTCAGGTTCTACCTCGTGAGAGTTTACATGTACATATTTGCAAAGGTACGGGTTGCATAGGCTTAGTCGTTTTTTTGAAAACAAAGCAGCAGGATTGCAAGGACCAAAAATCCGACCTCAGTATGCGAGCTCAACCGCTTCGACCTCATGAGAGCAGAAACACAGCAGCCTCTTGGCGCAGAGTAAACTCAAAGCATGTGCAGAGGGGCAGGCCAAACTGGACGGGCATCCTGTTGCAACCCCACCCAATCAGGGCTCTTCATCCTCCTCCAACTCTGACTGCTGCAGCCATCTTTTCTGTCCCTCACACTTGACACTAAACTGTGAAAATGTAGGATTAAACGGATGGAGACGCGCTCGTTCTTGGACCGCATGTATTTAAGTTTAACTTAAGCACTATTGAAATGGTTGCTTCTGGGCATCTGTGGGGGACCTTGCTGTCAAAGCTGTTTTTCAAAATGAGTTTGTGCGAGAGACACCTCGTGTTAGATGCTTTTATTTTGATCTGTTAATGTTAACAGAACTTGAACTTGAAGCTTGTCGGCACGTGTTGGGATCTCTGGAGTCTTACCGTTCCACCTCTTATCGATGCTGATCAATGTGCAAAGGTCGCTGTTGCACAATGGAAATTGAGATTTCTGTTTATGCATTGATGTCAAATTAATATGCCTGTTTTTACAGTACAATAAATATATTTGAACATGAACGCATTGTGACGAGAGATTCTTGAGTCCAGAAGCCCCTAAAATTCTTCATAGACCTTAAATGTTTTCACATCGTGTTCATTTCAATAACAAGCTTAAGAGAGATTAAGATTGTGATGTGTTTTTATTTGAGTCAACACAACATAGTGAAAATTATTACAACAAAGGAAAGTAATCCATGATGCTAATTCATTAGAAACGTACCAGGAGTGTTGCTTTGATTCTTTAATCCATGTTTGAGAAATCCTCGAATCTCCCATGGCAACCATTCTGATGCAAGACGTCTGGTTGGACCTGGCTCCGCCTCCTTGGAGCTGCACTTTCCACGTTTTGGAAACCTCTGGCTCACAGAGCGCCCCTGCCCCATGACACCCCCCTCCCCCCCACTCAGCTCCTTCAGACTAGCCCGCAGCAATTAGCACCCATTACACAAGCTCGTTACACAAGCTGCTTCTCAGTGCAACGCTGGCAAAATCATTAAAGGGTCAATAGAGGAGCCATGTTATAATATTCAGAAAGCTCACCAGCTTCTTAGAGACATAGGCCCAATTTCAATGTGCTAAATTACCAAGTTAATTTCCTTTTAAGTCATATTTGATATACACAACATTTTTATAACAACTGAAGTCAACAGACTTACTTGATTATGCTCTAAAATGGCACCATGTAGCTGGAAAAGTCTCAGTTGGGGCTTCTGCCTGCAGTGTATATAACCTGCTGGTTCCACTGCGTGCAGGTGAATTTTTTTGCTTCGAGGACTGGTGCCGTTTCCAGCATTCTGCCATCCAGTCAGGCAATAATGTAAAACACAGAGAGGGACAAGAAGCAGATGGGTGGTGGGTTATAGTCCCTGCAAAGCCTGTAAAGGTGAGTTGTGAAGCATCTTGGATTGTGCGGGAAGCTTCCGACGTTGTACCAGCAGGTGGCGCCTCTGAGAACAGACAATCACCCCCGAGAGGCTGAGAGCTGACAATAATTGCTTCTTTTAGCCTGCAGCTCATCACATAAAAACATGTTTGGTGGTTTTAATATCGTTTGAATTTCTTGAGGAAAGTTGGGGGGAGAAGAAACAAACGGTGAGACTTGGGATGTTTTTGCTCCGAAGTGTTGACTTTGCTTTATATGAATCCTAACTAAAATGTTTATGTAAGACTTTTGTACCAAAATGAAGAAGCAAATATCAGAAATGAGCTATTATATCAAACATTACATGTTTTTTTTTATTATTTTAAAAAAATCTCTGGGGCTGAACAGTGGCGCATTTGGTAGGACTGTTGCCTTGCAGCAAGAAGGTCCTGGGTTCATTAAAACTTGTCATTATGTTGTGACTGTATAGTATGAGAAATAATCTGTGAACAATCGATTTCCTCTGCTGTCCAGAAGACTAATCAGAGACAGGAGAGTTTTAGTGCTGTCAATCTCAATCTCAACATATGTTTTATTAATGCTACATACTGCAGCTGGAAGATTGGATTGCTTTGAGTGTATTTTGCACGTTGCCTATGACTGTTGCTCATGGGGAGAAACATTTCAGTAATCTGAACCTAATAGAAAAACTTGAAGCAATGTACTTATATACTGCATGTGGACTGTTGCTTGAAAAAATTCATGAGCAGTAAATATTGTGCTAGTTATCAGTATTGGACCAAAGAACGGAAGCCTTTGAAGTTGTGACGCTGTTGACAGGTCGCGCGTGGGGCCCCAATTCTATTTTTCTCACGGGGCCCAAGATTCCTTGCGGCGCCCCTGACCGTCAGCTCGGACAGTTACTGCGGATGCAAATATTTCCTTCTGTCATTTAATTATTTATTTATGTTTGTAACGGAGCAAACATCCGAGCAGCCGCCGCGGGGCGCAGTTACGGCGTACCGACCTTGTAACAGCGAGCGTCTGACGAGGAGCAGGCCGCTTTCCCTTTAAAGCCTGACGCACTCGGTGCTCCACTTTGGAGAAACCAGCAGCGGCAGCAGCAGCAGCGGCAGCCGCAGCGGGGAGCCCCCGGGGACGTCGGCGCTTCGCTGGACCCTCTCAACCGTCCAACCATCATGGAGTTTCTGCTGGGGAATCCGTTCAGCTCGCCGGCGGGCCAGTTAATCGGTGAGCTCTCGACGCAGAAAAGGAGAGAGAAAATGAAAACAACTAAAGCGCTTTAACGCGATCAGCGGCTCCGCTCAAGCGGTCCGCCCAGGCTCCACCGAGCCTGTTCTCTATTCCTTTATTTCTCATTTGACTCCAAGACGCGGTGCGTTTCGCCACGGGAGGGGGGCGTGAAGGGTAGGGGTTGGGAGGGTTAAAACAACAACTTAAAACGCGTGAAGGCTTACGGCGCGATTCACGCCCTGAGAAGACAATGATCGGCGTTGGGGGGGGAGGTGCTGGGAGACCGATCGGTTCCCCCAGTCGGCTCCGTTTTTAACCTGCACCGAGCTGAGCCGGACATCCCACCCCCACCCAGCACCACCACCCACCACCCCATCTGACCTAAATGAGAGAGAGCAGGCTGCAGCGCATTTACATCACACTGGCTTTTCTGTGCCACTCACTCACCAGTACACGCAAACTGACGGCTTCAGATATCATCATCATCATCATCATCATCATCATCATCATCATCATCATCATTATCATTATTATTATTATTATTATTATTATTATTGCTCTGATATCAACGATTAAGGAGCTCGTTTTCATCTAAAGAGACATGGTAGCCTTGGGAAGCAGGAAGCGCATACACCTATATTGACATTTTCTAATGTCAAAATGCTCATGGTGAACAGTTTGGGGTTTTTCCATCTAAACAACATGCTAAAGCTTTATTAGTGGGCCTGTTTTCATCTTTCTGTGAAACGTGTCAACTTGGGGGTTTTCAGTTTCTTATGCGTTGTGGATTTCTTTCAATTGTTTATGAAAATGTTATTGTTGTTATGTTGTTCTTAATGGGTGTACCAGCGGGCTTCTGTTTGCGTCACCAATTGCTACTTTTGACCAATAAATAAACAATTTTTAAAAAATCACTGTTACCTTCGGCTGTATTGGGATTGGCGTCGCACCGATTCGCTTTCTTCACTTCCGATACCAGTACCGATATTTGAGGCTTGGATTCCGATCCATCCGCTGAGTTCACGCGAAACGTTCCTTTTTACAAACACGGGCATAAGCGTACTGAATTGCGAGTTTACTTGATGACCCTGCGCCAGCACAGAACGCTGAAACGCACGCGTCACAAGCCTGGTCGAACATGTAAAAACGGCACAAGTTTAATTTGTTCAGTCAGGAGTGAAATAGCCAAAGTGAGATGAATAGCAAAGAAACTGAAAGTGATACAAAAAAAATCAGTAGCTTGTCTATCTTGGTGAAGCGTATAAAAACAAACTGCACCAAACCGTCTTTCAAGCGGATCAGAAAGCAAAATCAGTAATTCTACATATAGTGTAAAATAGACAACAAACCATTATGTCGTTCAGACGACAGAATTAAACTTTAAAGATCTGTCTTTATGGCTCTGGCACATCGGCACTGATACCCAACGTAGGATTTTTTTTTTTCGATATTGGCCGATACAAATATTAATATCGGATCGTTGATATTATCTCTAATTGACATAGGATCACAGTTTTCCTCTGCTATGTCAGGTGTCTGCAACCTGATGAACGTGGCCAATTTGAAATATTCATCAATAAAATGCTTCCTGTTTTCTGATTTGTGTATTTTTTAGTCTTTTGTTCTTTGCCCCAGTGAAGAAACATCGGCCACCCGCCCTGAAGCCCCCTCCTGGCCTAGAAACCCCCCACTCTCAACTCATCTACCACTCAAGCTACTATACTGGGAATTTCCCATCTGAGTGACAAACAAAGAACTGTTCTATTCTATTGTCACCCCCCAAAAAAGGAAATTGACAAACTCATTGTTTGTCAATGAGTTTGTCATTGACAAAAACTACACATTATTTGCAGTAGTTTCTACTGCTTGTTTTTGTGGTTTTGTTTGTTTGTTAGGTATCTAGGAGTGTGCTGCTCTCAAAGCACCAAAGTGGAGCGTATGCGTTCACATAGCTGCACACATTTCGGCTTCCTGTGGTCGCCCCTGATTAGTGCTCATCAGACCTATCTGATCCAGGCCGTCTCTTCAGAGACGTTGATGATTCTTCCAGCTTTTTTGGGGGGGGTCAAACAGGAAATCGTTTGTCCTTCATCCAGGCAAACAGGAGCTAAAAATATCTCCACGTAATGAGGACGTGCGTCTCCACAGTGACGCTGGACCCCTGAAGTGGGCCACGCCCACCGTGCAGCTTATGCACAAAGAACTGCTGATGTTTTCCTTTCACTTCGTTTGAGTGCATTCCCGTCAGAGAAATAATTTTACGGTAAAATGACAAAATGAAAGCTTTGTCCCTAACTCGTTTTTCTGTCGGTGCTTTGCTAACACACAGTGTCTAATTTCCAAGTGTCTAGAACTGTAGCTACATGCTTAAGCTAAAGAATAAAAAAAAAAAAAAGAAAAAAAAGTGGCCAACTGCTAATGGTATAATTAAAAAAATATGATGCATAAATATGGATTAATGTCGTATTTGCTTTACGTCTCTTGACTTTTTTGGGTTTTACAGAACGTGCCACTAACTCCAGCTCACCTGCTGAAGACTGGGAACTCAACATGGAGATCTGTGACATGGTCAACAGCTCAGAGGAAGGGTGTGTATCCGTGCATGTGTGTGTGTGTGTGTGTTTAACCGTCATCGTCAGAAACACGGCCTTCCCTCGAGCTCCCGTGCGTCTCACCGTTGCCCCCTCTCTGACCTCCAGGCCCAGAGACGCAGTCAGAGCCATAAAGAAGCGGATCGCGGCGAACAAGAACTTCAAGGAGATCATGCTGGCCCTCACTGTGAGCGTCGGGTGAAATCGTGGAGCCGAAGCAGCTCGCTTCGTTTTCTCTTGGATGTCCTCTTCATTCTCTTTCCGACTGCAGGTCCTGGAGACGTGCGTGAAGAACTGCGGCTACAGATTCC